TTCTCTCCTTGATTGCTATCTCAGTCCTTTCTTTGTTCCAAAATTCACAAAGACAATCCCGTGTCTGCCCTTTTCTGTTCCTTCTGTAAAAAGAAATAGGGTTTCTACATAAAACATTATCCACACACGTATTTTGCAGAGAAGTACATTAAAAAGAGAAACTGGTTGACCACTGTGTGGATCATGTCTTACTCTATGGACCAACAGATGATTCAAGGGACCAGGAAATGGAGGCAACAAAGAAGTTGTAGACAGCCAACTCTCTCATCATGAAATCTTCTCCACGTTGCAAACAACACAATTGGAGAGAGAAAAAGTATACTTAGCATAACTCACAGGAAGCACTGAATTAGAAATAAACCAGAAATATCCCAGGTTTCTTTTCCCAAAAATCAAATGGGGCTTCTCCGTCTCCTTTCTTTCCCGTCAGTTTTCATACAGTGTGCATTTCTGTATTGTCTTGAATGCAATCTATAATTTCAGGCATAATTTCAGAACCTCATAAACTGGCTCCTTATTTTTACTGTGGCAACAATAGAAGTATGAATATATTGCTGATTTTTTAATGGTAGATTATTATCTTAGCCAGTATTCTGGCAAAACACTGATGCACCCTGACTAGGACTTTAGACTGTTCTTCATGTGTGAATTTTTTAATATGAAAAATATAGAGCCACAGAAGTAATTTATCTATTGTTCATGGTATATCTTCTTGGCCTCCAAGGGCAACAGAATTGTTTTTTATTCCATAAACATTTTGACTGTCACTTACAGAACATCTTGGAATTTGTTCAGAAGAAGAAAATGTCTGACTTTCATCGTATTTATGCCAAGAATTAATTTTACTTAGATCTGGGTCTATAGCAGTTTTGACAATAACACCACAATTATTATTACATTTGGTTGCACAGTCAGAAAGATGTTTAGACTTGGAATAAAGGACTGTTTTTGTCCACCTGTCAAGTCCTTTCGAGGACCTGGGATAACCAGATGTTTTTTAATAATATTAAAGTCATCACCAAATGTAAGCTGTTTCAAGGAAGGCTGCCTTTTGTAATTGACTGATGGTGATTTTGTAAAGGTCAATAGTGTTCAATTAGTGCGCTGGATGTTTTGGAATTGCACACAAAGTGCCCAATATTATTGCCACTCTCTTTGTTTCCTTAGTTGTCATAGTTCTTCCATTTGCAGGTTTTTGAATTTTGTGCTTTTCTGATCTATTCTGCTGTTTTCAGGTTTTGCATTCCCACTGTCCAGATTTATTTTGTCTTTCTTATCAACATTGCTAAGTGTGGGGTGTCGGGTGGCAGATGCTTGTCAGGTTGAAATCTAAAGTCTCAGAGCATTTTAGATACCTCATTTTTTATTACTTTGTCTATTTTATTCCAATTCTTGCTTGCAGGCAAATTCTTGCATGGGGCAAGACAGAAAGAATTCTGATAGTTAGGTGTGACTAGTTGTGTGAAGCAGCTGGCTGCAGTAACAATGTGGAATACGTGTAGTGGTGACAGGAAGATCCCTGGATCTGTTTGACTTTCTGTATCCTTCAACCTTTGCTTCAGGGATTATTTTTCCCGATTCATATTCCATCTTAAGCGATGTGGAGGGAGGGTAGCCTAAATTTGAAAGACAATTCCACAGCCTTGATCCATGTGGATTGGAAGTTATCCCGAGGATTAGTGGTGCTAAGCCTTGGCGAAAGAAGTTGAGCTTTAAGCAAAGGTTTATAGAAGCTAGAGCCTCTGGACTCAGCTTTAATCATGCCTGTCTCCAGTCGTAGGTGTAAGTTTAATACACAGTGCGGTATCTGGAGAACTGCTCTGATGAATTTAGACTGTACTTTTTCCAGAGAGGTGAAACATAAACCTAGAGGCCCAACCAAAGTCCCATGAAGGAACTGGGCTAGAGATTTAGCTTGAGAAACTTCAGTTGGAACATAATATCTTCCCTTGATTTGGAAAAAAAATAAGGATAGCATTAGAAGATCTTTGCCCAGTAGTAGCCAAATATGCCCAAGGGCTTGAGCCAGTGGCATGTATGATTATTCTTAAATATTAAAAGCTAGTCACTTATTCTATTTGTGGCCATTAATGCTCCATAAACGGAGTTTTGGCAAAAGACATAATCTTGGTTTTCTGACACTAGCTAGGATGGATACTTACTTACTTTTCTATTTATGTAGCCTATATGGATCTTGATGTTCCCTTATTTCTTGGGAAACTAATAAAATACTTATTCTTATTAGAGCTTTTCTCTCAACTCTCATGTTAGTTCCCCCATTAATTCTTGATGACTGTATTTTTTCTAATGTACACTGAAAGCATATGCACCAAAGACAAATTCCTTCTGTGTCCAATCACACTTGGCCAATAAAGAATTCTGTTCCATTCCATTCCATTCCATTTAGTTTGGATTCCCCAGTTCAGGCACAACAATAGAAGATACCTAAGAACCTTGTGTACCATTTATAAGGTTGTAAAAACAAGAATGCAAGTTAGAAACCATTTAATAGGAAACAACATTTTATAATTGAAATGTTGAATAACCGAAGGTAAAATAATCTATAATAACCTGACATATACACTTGTCTATAATAAAGGACTATAGTTATTGTTACAGTATTATTTTGCTGTAAACATTTTGAGAAAGATGCTATGCTTTCCTCAGCACTAAAACCACAAGAAATATGGAAGCAATTTCATATTAAAGTATAAAAGGCAATGGGAAGTAAGTTTCCCATTACAGACAGAAGGCATACAGCTGTTCTAAAAAATAAAGAGCTGTTAAATTTCATGAGTAACCTTTTCTTTTGTTACACTCAGATATGGCAGAGTTCTGTCATGACAACTGACTAATATGGAACATTATATGTTCAATATCACAGCTCTATTTTTAAGGGGCATGCATAAAAATCAAGACTATGGTATTCTCAAAGAATAAAGCTCACAATTGATATATGATAGATCAGGTCATTCTTTGTAGTAGAGAAAAGTGTTGTAATTAAATTGATTGAAGTATTACACTTGCAAATGCATTACCAGAATATACTTACATAATCAATTTTCAACTTATCACAGGAAGGTTAAACTTTTGCTATTCTATCTATTTATGTTTAAATAGATGATATTCCTCAAATGGACAGTGCAAAATATTATTTAGTAAATATTTATAAAACTAATAAAGTAATATAGAATAAAGAATATAGAATAAGGAAGAAAAAAGTAATAAAGAAAATAGAGGTAAAAATGCAAGAAAGAAAAATGTAATAGAAAAAAGGGAAAAGAAATATAATACTTTCAATATTCTCTACAACAGTTATAATTGCAATTATAAACTAAGCAGTCGCTAAACAAGGAATATAAGTATGAGTAAAGATGTAAGCTGCTTTCCCAGGCTTAATATTTGCAACATATTCAAACATATATAAACATAAACACACACACACACACACACACACAGAGATAGAGAGAGGGGGGG